ATCCTTCATTCGAAGTAATTCATACTCCGAGCGAAGAGCTTGAAGTTGCAACTTCTTTGTCTTCGCATTTTCCTGGCATTTCTTCTTCATGGACTCCCAAATATCTTTGGAGGTTTCCTTGCAAGGAATGGTCTCTAAAATAGCCCGTTCGATTGATTGAAAGAGGTAGTTTTTAGCTTTAAGATCCTTCAGTTTTAAAGCTTCCAACCTCGTCCTTTGGTCTGCCGGCATCTCAGCGGTGGGAGTTGCTGCTCCAGTCTCCACCACAGCCCAAAGTTCTTTGGACCGGAGAAAGTTTTCCATCAACATGCTCCAATGATCGTAGTGACCATCAAAGCGGGGAATGGAAGGTTGAACAAAGCCTTCAGATGCCATGGATCAATTGATATTGCTGCTGCAGTGAATTTATGAGGCTCTGATACCAAATGTAAGACAAATTATCTTTGGGGAATTTTATCAAACAGGTTGTAGGCAACCTTGTTTAGAAGAAATGTTAAAACTATAAATATTTAATATGGATCAGAACAAGCTCAAAAACAGAACAGGAATGGGAAGAGGACTTATCATTTTATTAGTCTATAGCTACGCCAATTTATAGGCTATACAAAGCAACAAGATAGACACTACTGCATTTCCTAAAAATAAGGAAAGCCACAAAAGTGTAACTAATGACATAAGAATAGGACAATAACTGAAATGATAAACCTATTAATAAATAATGACTTTGTCAACTGACTTATTCAACATTATCCAATAACAATTTATATATATATATTGTACGTCAGGCTTCATAGATCGATCTTCCCACACAAAGTGTACAACCAGATGTTTTGTGCTGTGTGTTTGAGACCGGTCAAACGAGAACGACACTTCCAATCGAAACTCTAGTAGTGAATCATCACGATGAAGAGAATGGTGTTGCATAAAGGCCAATCATCCTCTTCGACAGGAAGAAGGGAGTTTCTACAGGAAGAGTACGTTGGGAGGCATTGCATAGTGATCAACTGATCGCCATCCCTTTCTAAACCCTAGCTTGTATCTGCATGCAGCAGCAAGGCAGTGGCCGACTTTTGTAGCGAGGGTATGAAGATAATGAATTTGCAGTGTGGGTATTTCATAATACTCATGCATGTATGAAATGCATATTACCGTTACTCATAAATGAACATATGCATAATTGTAAAGAACATTGTAAAGAGTTCTTGATTGTATTTCATATTCTGCTTGTTTCGAATAAATATCAAAATAAACGTGTGAAATTATTAGTAGTGTTGTTCGTAAATGAATACTCCCTCCATTCCTAATTAATAATTATCTGTCTTTTAAGGTTAATTCACGTATTTTAAGAATACATTAATTTTTTTAGTGTAGATCCTAATATGCCCTTAATTAATCCGAAAGCATGCCCATACTAATTTAATATTCCTACTGCGCAGTATTCCTACATACTAACAAAGCATTATTAATATGGCATTTGTTTTCATACTAGCTGTCCACGGGCTCGAAGATGACGGTCAGACCGGCCATGTTGGAGATGATGATGATCACGAAGGCCAAACAAATGAAACTGGTATATGTGTTCTTAAGCTAATTACCACAACATTGATATTGATATTTCCACTCATTTTCTTTTAGGCCCCGTTTAGTACATGGAATTCAAACCATGGAATTGGAATTGAAGACATCAATTCCAATTCTGGTGTTTGGTAGCACAAAAATTGTGTGGATTTGGAATTGATAGTGCAAAAAATGAATTGAAATTGGCAGAATTGAATCCCATGGAATTTCAATTCCAATTCAATTCCAATTACATCAATTCCGTATACCAAACGGACCCTTAGAACATTTTACATTCAAACGGATGCTTTTTTAAAAAAAAAAATTGGCAAATGATGAATTAGGGGTGCCGCAAAAACTGATAACTCTTCCAAATGAGACTCGAAGGGAAATATATTCTGCTTTGCTTTCAAGAAGTATAATGGAAAGTTAAAGAGAAAGAGTGGTGCTGTTAAGATAGTTGCGTCATTATTTTCGGTAAGCGAAAGAACTGTTAGTCGTATTTGGAAAGAAGGGATTGAATGTCAAGCCCGTGGTGAGTGTGTTGTGATGTTTCTAATAAGAAAGTGAAAAATTGTGGCTGTAAACGAGTGGGAATAGATAGTAGTCGAATACCAGACATTCCCCTATCAAAGCGGACGACCGTTTTGGATTTGTCTCGATGTTGGAAAAACCACTTTATATCGCCGTTTCAAGTCTGGTGAGATTAGAAGGCATTCTAATATACTAGATTTTAACCCGTGCGATGCACGGAAAAAATTGCTATTCAAAAAACTTCCAAATAGAATTATACTTGTTGCTATTCAAAAATCAAAAGTCACAAAAACAATTTGTTTATTTGTGCATTTTAGTTAATCTTTTTATAAAATAAAATATTATTGTCATTTCTTATTTTGTAAATTAAAATTTTTGCGGTAATTATGTAAGTTTTATTTTTAGTTTCTATAACAATCTTTAAATAACATGAATTAAAAAACTTGAAATTTTATTTCATTTTACGTGAAGCATAAAATATTTTGAGACGGAAGGTGTATTATAATAAGTAGTACTACACAAAATGTAGAGGCCCATGACCACCTAACCCCTAAAATGGGCCACCTCAACCTTCTTACACTATTATTCTACGTTGATGAAAAATTGTTATTCTTTGCGAACATTTTATAGATGCATTGAAAAGAAATGGCAATCATAAAACCAAAATATGAAGAAATCATATCTAGCAAAAAAATTGCTACAAAAAACTTCAATACCCCATAAAAGACAAATTCTTACAACTTGGAACATAAATTCGAACTTGAATTTCAAAGGATATTCAAAAATTTGATCCATGCAATGAATGACATATTAACACCTAAATCTGCACTTCAATTTAAGTTATCAAATCCTATATGCATAGCATATTCAAGCATCACAAAATAGTAAATTAAATTTGAAAAAATAAATTCAAATTAATTGGTTGTTTGAGAAGTCTAGATTTTAAAAAAATGAATTCAATTAAAGAAAAACAACACTTCAAATGGTGGCTCCGGAATGCTTGTGCTTGCTACTACATGTTGCAACTATTTTCCCTATTATTCCTTATAACCAACAAATTACTTTTTTCATTTAAAAAAAAGTACACAACTCTACAAAGCTTGATAAGAAAAATAAGGAAACCAAAGCTACTGTAAAAAGGAAAAAAATTGCTACTTTTAAAAAATAAAGCTAAAAGATAGATCCCAAGAAGCAAACACCAGCTTTTGGTTTCCAAAATGGTGTTATAGCAAAAGTCTGTGTGCAGCTTCTACATCCCAAGCACAGAAGCCACCAACAAATCTACGATTGAAAGAAGTTGTGTCTTTCTCATCTACTAAAGTATCCAAAGTAGCCTTGCATTTATCCTGCAAAATAATCAGTCAATGCGACATCATCAAATGGAATTGAATTAATTTTACACTCCAAAAAACATTCTTCCAAAACAAAGCAAATCTAAAAGTGCGTCATGGCTAAGTAATGCCTCTTTTTTGCGGCATCACACTCAAGTTGTAAGGCAAATCTAAAATGAGCAAAAATCATTATTACACTCATGTTATAACTTCTTAAACATACACCCTTATAGGCCAATTAAAAGAGTTCTACTCAATGCCTCAACTTATCTAAGCTACTTTAAGGACAAATTAAGGTGACATTACTTAGCCACTCAAAATGAGCAAATTGTATCTCCAAACCAAACGCAACCCCACCCAAGCATTTTTCAACATCACTAATTGGGCATGAAGATTATATTGCTTGAAAGTGGTAGCCACTTGATTCAATATTTTCATTGCTTGTGTATTGGATAATCAAGAAACAATATGCACCAGGGGGAAGACATTGACTAAAGAAGATAAAAATTTAAATAACAGTCTTCTTGCGGCATAAAAATTAAAATGTCAAAAGACATTAATTACCTTTAATTGTGGTTTTTCGTAATACGTTAGTTGTCTCCACCTCTTAGCCATCAGAAAAGTCTCTTCAGCCATGTATGCTAGTGTCACAACAGCTTCTGCAAATGACACAAAGTACATTATAATTTTGTGTAAAGATATACAACTAAAGTTGATGATGAAATACTTTCATAAAAAAGGGGAGTAATAAAAAACAAATCCTTGGGCCTATAATCTTTCCTGCAACACGTTATCCTTGTTTATTTTTGGTGCAGGCAGTCTATCTCCCAATGCAAGATGTTCCCAAAATGGCATGTATCAATAACCTAAATTAAAGATATTAAAAAGCCAAAAATTTTATCGTAGCACGATTTTGCAAATCATCACATTTCTCTGAATTTTGCACTTATTATAAAGGAGTAACTAAATAGATCCTCCCATTTGTTAGATTTTAAATGATGCTTGGGATACAAATACTACTACACATTAGAAGCATATTTATAGCACACAATGCCTTCGCATGATCTATTTCACATTTTAAAGAAATATTTAGCTTGAAAACATAAAATTTAACACACTAATGGAGTAAAATAGTAAAAAAATACTAACACACATTTGTAAATTGGAATAAGAAAACCCATAAAGAGAAGAAAAATCTATTGCGGAGTATATTATAAATTGCATCTAAATTTCAAATGAAATTAAGAGATAAAATTGGTGAAGCTTAGAATTTCTGGTTTGAATCTGAGCTTCTTTATACAAAAAAGCAATCAAGAAAGGCTCTTCAAACTTGCGTGAATATATGTAAAAAAAACCCAACACATTTGAACATGTTTTTAGAATGAAATTACATACATAATGAAAGATCTCCAACATAGTAAGACCTCTTTTCCAGCTTGCATCCGATCAAAGAGACCACTACAATCTACCTAAAATCATATCTAGCTAGATGTAGGGTCATCCTTAAAACCAAATGTTGCACCCCACTATGAATGCAGAGAACTCTTGTATCAATTTTTTTTAAAACAGAATTTGGATGAATAGGGTGGGGGGTAGAATTTGAAAAGCAGGCTATTGAAAATATGGTTAGGAAAATGGAGAGTTTTGAGAGTTAAGGACCAACCTATGTTAATTTTTGTTTCTTCAGTCTCTAGATTGCACATTCTACACATGAGTTAGCCTGTGGAGAAGGACATCCTTTACCCCTCAATTACTGTCTTTTCACCCCATTCTAAATCAAAGATATGAGAAATCATATCACTATAATCACTCTAAGTTTCCCCATGCCTAAAGCGAGTGAAATTAAAAAAATTTAATATCATTTTGATCATAAAGGATAACATCGGAATTCTCCATGGATTTCAAAGGAACATGCATCGGCCTTATCCGAGACACAATCGGAATGGATCGGCTTTATCCTAGAGATTCTGCGCCTACCTGTTGCTGCCCGCTAAAACCGTTTCCGCCTATGAATTCCTGTCATTATCGTCTCCTTTCTGGGTATAGCTAGGCATTTCCTTTGATCTAGGTTCAAGGTGGAAAAGGATCAGAAGAAAATTAGGTGTTGCACTGCTCAAACCCTATCTCTCCAATTTGACAGAAATAGGCAACAACTTTATCCTATACATAGGTGGAAGTTAAATTAGTGACGTCTTGAGATTGTGGGGAGATCATGCCTCAACAGTTGCTACAGCATTTGGGTCCTGCTGCTATTGTAAATAAGGAGGATTGAAGTCGTATTTGACATAAGAGAATAGAAAATGTAGACTTTGATGGTGCATATCGATGTTGGATTTCAGAAGCATACATAGTGACCCAATCTTTGAAAAATTGTACTCTCTCCGTCCACCTAAGATGTTCTCATTTTGACTTTTTTAGTGATTTTTAAAGAGAGTTGAAAAAGGTAAAAGTTTACCATAATACCCTTAATGAAAAAATGGGTGGAGTGTAATAATTGAGGTGGGTGAGGTGTAATAAATAAAGTAAGTGAAGGTAGTTGTGGTGTTTTAATTGTTAAAAAATGAAACGCGAAAATCTATTGTGGGCAAAGAAAAAGGGCTATTGGAAAGGTCCCTAATATTGTCCATATAGATGAAAAGTGGTTTCAGATGACAAAGAAAACTACAAATTATTATCTGCATCCACTTGAAGATGATCCTCTACGCACTTGTAGTAAGAGCACAAATTTCATCCCTAAGATCATGTTTTTAACTGCTCTTGCCAGGCCAAGAATAGATGATACTGGAACTTGGATGGAAAAATTGGAATATTTCCTTTGGTGATCGATTTATGAAACGGCTCAAAGAAGTAGTGTCAATCGAGTTGCTGGGACAATTGAAATGAAACCAATTACATCCATTAACAAAAATGAGATACCATCACTTATGATTGAAAAGGTTCTTCCTGCAATTCGATCGCGCAAAGTCGCCAACCGAAGATGCGGGTCTTCCCATATATATTTATCCAACAACTCACATTAATCCTAACGACCCTCTTTTTTGTGCTGCTGCAAAGGAGGACAATTTTGGTATTCGTTTGATTTGTCAACCTGCAAATTCACCAGACTTGAACATTCTAGACCTTGGTTTTTTTCGGGCAATACCATCAATTCACAGCAAGAAGAGTCCTAAGAATGTAAATTTTGTAAGAGATGCATTCGAAGAGTTTTCACCAATTTTATCCAAGAGAATATTTGTGATGATAGAGATAATCAAGACAAAAGGTTCCAAGAGGTACAAAGTACCGCATCTTAGAAAGGGTCATTTGGAAAGAGAAGGGCAACTCCCGTTGCAACTCAAATGTGAGTAAGTTTAGTGGAATCAGCTATCGATCATCTTCAGTAGTTGTATTTGATGTAATATGTACTTTGTGAATTTATTTCCTTTTTTACTGGGGTCTTATCCCTAAGATAGTGTTTGACAACTAACATTTCATTTCAATTAATGCATTTCAAATCCAAAATTTGAAATCTTGAATTTCAAATGACAAAAGTAGGTGCATGAATTTCAAATTAAACTTTGTTATGAATGAAAAGAATTTGACTCAAATCCAAACTCAAAATTTTTAAGTTTCCCAAACATGGAATTTGAGCCAAATTCGGATTTAAAATCCAAATCCATGTTCCCAAACATACCATTATATCATTAAACAGTTATCCAAAGTGTTAAAGTTGATTGAAAAATTTATCACTGTAATAAATATTTTGTTGCCTTCTAAAATAAAATTTTAAAGCCAAACATGCCCATTATTAAAAAAAAAGGATGAGTCCCATTCTCGAGGGTCCCCTTAGACTCGGCCGAACGGTCAATTAGAAGAGATAAATTGTACTTTGATTGCAGATTGGTGGCAAAGAGTGTAGCGTGCTCCTAGGTTTTGCGGAGACCATATGCTTAACATAATTGGTTTCTAGCACTGTTGTCGGAAATGGAGTTTGGGTCTTACCCCTTGGCACTCATTGCCTTTGCCAGCTGCAGAACGCCCATCGACCAAACATGCCCATTATCATTTAGCTCCTATAATATAGTGCATCGACACACAGAGCTCGTAGATCTAGCAAATACTCACATAGGAGTCACAAACTACTCCCTCCATTCTTAATTATCTGTCCATTATGGAAATTTTATTTGTCCACAAATAACTATCCATTACAAGATCCAATGCAATAATGTGTGATGAAATGACTATTTACCTTTTTGTATTTTAGGAGTACAACTCAAGTTTTAAGTACGGAGTAAATGTAATTTCCTTGGGAGTAAGAACCAAATACCGTAGGGAGTAACTATTCTTCTCGCTCAAGTTTTTTTTCTTACTCCAAAAAGAATCCCTTCAACTTCAAATCTCTTTATACAAATAGGCACTGTCTGATTTATGTCTAACCCTATGGAATGACATGCTATTCCACCTTCTTTTCTTGTAAAACTCTATGCATGCTGATTTAATGAATTACTCTTTTGCTCTTAAAAAATGACAAACCTAATCGATGAAACTTTTGATAAATACGCACATCTAAGTCTTATTTGGAGAATATTAAATACTACTCCACTGTTTGGGATTGAATTTCTCATTTTGAATTACGAGATTTTATTAAAGTTATTTTCAATTCAATTTATATAATTACTACAAGTGTAAAATTAAAACTAAAATTTATATATTTCAAAACTTTTAAAAAATTACGAAACAAGAGATGACATGATTATTTAATGTTATAAGCAGTAAAACTTAAACTTGAGCCTTCAACTTTGGGATTAATTAAGCATATTGACAAGTTATTGTATCTCAAAACTTGAGCATTCAACTTACACAAAGGGTCACCCATGCAAAGTAAAATACACAAACAGGAGTAGATCATACCTGGCTTAGTCTGTTGCTCTATCTGATGTTTTCCAACGACCGCGTTGAGCTTTAGCATTTTCAAAGTTGATTAACTCCATTAGAAGATTATCCAAAACGCAAACAGCAAACGATATTCCCAAACGAAGCCTATGTCTAGTGAAAATGTTTCTTCTATTTAAAAAATTACAAAAAAAAAGGTGGGTTATTGGGATGCCAAACTAGTATCTTCTCCAGCCAAGCCAATATCATGGTCATGCTTGTCAACAACACATCCATCTGGAGATATTGTGCCACCAACTCTTTTTGGTGGCCAGTACCGGAATATAGATCTCCCGATTATGTTCTTCGAAGGTAGTGGACCCCTGGTAAAAGCAAATGACCCGAATTAAAAGAAATAGCATAAGCCAATCATAACCATCTCCGCCTATCCCATATATTTTGGTGTCCGTGACATGAAATTATTTAGTTTCATTTCATGGTGTGGATTGCATAGCAACATAAGTTCACACTAAAAGAACAATTAGTGGCATCATTTTACGTCGGATGGCCTCGAGCTCGATGTTGCAATCTTGTCAAAAGTGAATGATGAAATGAAATCCCAAACCATTCACTTATCATAAAATCTTTCCATTTGCAAGTATCGTGATTTGGGAGACAATGATGAGTTAATATGATTGCTAGAGTAATGTCATGTTACATGCTAAAATTGGCATGTAGATCATAGAACGTGACTATAAACGCATAGATTAATCAATATAAATAAAGTAAAATACTAGATTACAACTTGACATCCTTACCACACATGTGAGTCATAGCTGTTATTCCGATTATCGCCCATCACAAAAAATGACTTTTCCGGTACACGCTGCAAGATAAGATAACATGAGAACACTAAGAACAACAAAGACTTCGGTAATGTTGTGGACGTAATTGATTTTCACTCTTAATATTAAGGTGACTTGCTCAAGGTTGGTAAAATTGTTTTGAACTCAACTCAGCACAACAAATTTCGACCTTTATAGAAAGATATGTTCTCGGATTGCTTTTATAGAAAGAGAGAAGAATTAATGAGTGGATTGGGGGAGAGAGGTGAACATACAATCGGAGTCATCTCATAGTTGGGGTTTTCAAGAATAAAATTTTCGTTTCTAGCCATTCCATTCACGATCAGTTTCCCTTCATGAACCTGCACTATAAGAGACGGTAGTCACAAACAAATGAACAGTAAAACACTCTGTGGCATGAAAATTAGGTGCAGAGTTTTGATGGTCTCACCTCGACAGTATCACCTTCCTTTGCAACGATCCGTTTAATGAAGACATCATCATCCGTGTACCCCACTTCCTGAAGGACTGGAGGGCTTTTGAAAATCACAATATCATTAGGACATGGCTTTCTGAATAAGTAAGAGACCTGCATGCAAGAGTGTGATCATCAATTTCCTAGGATGGATAATCAAAACAATCGAACTAAATCCAACACCCCCGAGGCTTTATTACATGGAAGAACTGCAGGAAAACCATTTAATTTGAGAAGCACATAGAAAAGGGACCTACTGTCAGAGTGGATCAAGCAAACAGAATGCACTATGAATAAAGTTCATCACCAAAATTCCCTTTCAATCTTAAAACTACAAGACTTTGCCATAAACCTTTCATTATAGTGTATTTCTAGGTCAAGTTCAACATTTAAGCGTGCACTTGTTAGTATCCCACATTAAAATACTCGTATTAAAATACTTGTTAGTATCCCTTGCCTCCCTAGTTTCTAGTAGGGGTAAGGTCTACGCACACACACCCTCCCCAGACCCTACTGGGATTCAACTGGGTTGTTTTTGTTGTTTTACTTGTTCGTATCCCACATTAAAATACTCATATCAAAAAGTAAATGATGGACTAGAAAGACCTTGATCTTGTAAAAAGTCTAACTCCAAACTATGATTCCAAGTCCCAACATATTATGTTCTCCGTATAATAGATTCTTCACTTATTCTCAAAGACACAAAGCATCATATTCATCAAACAATTGGCCATAAAATTTCAAACTTCGTATATAACAGGAAATGAGGAAAGCATGAAAATTGATGGCTGCATAATGAACAATAAGAGAGGGAGGTGCAGAAGATGTAACCTTTTCAGCCACAATCCGGTCGCCAACATCAAATGTGGGATACATAGACAAGGAAGGTATATATCTAGGCTCAGCCACAAAGGACCTGAACGCCAAAGAAATCGCCAAAGTGGCGAAAACAGTTATGGCATCACCTGAAGTGAAATCCAGCCATGGTGGCAAAACCCTATCGACCTTCTCACCCGGGGAATCATCTCCGCCGCCCCCTCCACCTCCGCCCCCGCCGCTCTCAGAATCTAGCTCATTCTTGGTCTCCTTGTCAGATTCCTGGACACTCTTGGCGCAAAAGGCAAGAAATTTGAGGCCTTTACACTTCCGGTTCTCAAGATATCCGAAATTTGGGGTCTTGGGGAAGGATTTGAACTGGGTTTGGTCGAAGTGGAGGGTTTTTGACGAGGAATTGGAAATAATTGGCAAGAAATTTTGATTTTTGGAGCAGGGGACAGAAACGATTCTAGGGATTTGAAATGAAGAGCAATGAGGGGTACAATTGAGTGTTATCATTGAATTGAACTGGAATGGGGGAAATAAGAAATTCCTGTTTGCTGCGTCTCCCTAAAAAACGGGAGAACGATTTGAGGTATGACGGGGTCCGGTAGAGATTGATTCTGGAATCGGATTAGGTTGGTCCCAACCGCGAAAATATATCTCTCGCCTTCTTTGTCTAATTTTGTTTTTTACACTTAAAACTGATGAATTTTGAGTATTAATTACATAAAAATTAATAATCGTCTCAATTTAAATCGCATGCTTTGATTTATGATGTTTGATTGAAATTATTTTCAAATTATTTTATATAAAAAAGGTGTATAATTGAAAAAATAAAAATTACATATAAGTATTTAAAATCTTTATCAAAAAATCTACAAAACTAGTAGTAACAAAATGGATGAAAGAAAGTGAATAAAATTTAACTTTGTAAATAATAAATACGAAATTTAATTTATAACGGATGAAGTAATATAAGAATAATTTGATCCCAAGAGAGCAAATAATTGATACTCTCTCCGCTCCCAATTTATTACAATTTTTTCTCTCCTTTCGACAACTTTTATTTGTTTATACAATTTCATTAACTATTTCATAAAATAAAATATTCTTGTCACTTCTTGTTTTGTAGAAATTTGACTTAGTTTTTTAATATGTAAATTTTTTTTCTTATCGATATACCGATTTGTAAATAAAATGATTTCAAAAAGTGATATATTTCTCCTCATAAATCCTAATTTGTAATCAAATTGAGGACAAAGGGAGTAGAATCTAATTTGATTAAATAGCTAAATGAGTAAAGTGTAATCAAAGTGGAGTGACCACTCATTTGGAGTAAATGGTAGTGAAGTACTATAGATAGCTTTATGAGTTCTATTTTCAATATTTGTTGAGTTTAAGTGCTAGGCACTCATAGGCAATCTCTGCAAAGTGCTTTACAAACCTAACATGGCTTCTCAAAGAACTTCAATTAGACTTACAGGAATATAGTCTATGGCCTCAGAGAGGTTTAATGCTGAAAACCACTCTCAACTGCTCAACCCATGTCTTGGCTTGCCATGCCTCTCTCCCCCACTAGTGTTGTTATAGCAATATGACCAAACCATTGTAATCTGTCACCTGACATTATTAATAATATGCACATGAACGAACTCTGTCGGAAAGACAGCATTCATTCTTAATAAGAGTCACCTATGAAATGTCTGGCGTCTGGCGATTAGATATATAAGTACCAAGTTATACAACAGAGGGACTGGTTTGAGTCCAGCAAATAGTTAAATTTCTTACCTAAAACGAAAAGAAATTTATCTGTTGCCAAAGTAATTAACCATTAAGATACTAAGAGTACTTACCAAGAAAGAGCTCTATAATGACCTATTTTACTCATATGCTGAGACAAGTATATATCATGCAATAAGAACAATACCAATGTGGCACTTAGTTTTTTTTATGTGTGCTAAGTTTCCATTTTCCAACTCTTCAATTGAAACCTCTACTTTGCTTCCCAGTTGTATGGGCTTGGGCTTCACCGCTGCTTGAGCCATTCACACCATATTCACTCGTCGGGTTGCTATATTGACCGGTGCTGCCATAGTCATGGGTTCCCAATGCCATCTTCCTGAACTTCCTCATGTCATCATTGTATTGCATGGTGTCATAATCTGAACTCCCGAATGAGCTGTACCCCATGTTGTGTCCCGGTGTGATTCCTTCGTTAAGATCAGACAGTGAAACTTGTCCTTCTAAAGCTCTCAAAACCTGTTCAATCCCAATGGCATTCGCTTGTCAATAATGTCCTTACAGAGCCTGGTCTTAAAATGGAAGGGGCAAAGGGCATATTGTAAATCGATTGAAAAACTTCTACATTTTGCTAAAAACGTATTGCTGTCTCATAGAAGGGTCTAAAACAAGTTTTGTTGAGAATCAAAGCCTCAACTTCCCATCTGTCCTTAAAATAGTTGGGGTTACACGATAATGATGATGACTCGTCTTCTAGGTTGGGGCATTATTTTTGTTTGGATACCAAATGAAAGTTCCAGGAGAAGTTCAGGCACCACATCATTGATTAGCCAAGAGAAGTGGAGATTTCTAAGGGAAAGAACTAAACTACCTGGTTCATTCTAGGACGGCGCTTAGCTGAATGTTGCACACAAGAAGCAATACATGCAACCACACGAGCCATTTCATTTCGGCTGTAATCATTTCCAATCCGTGGATCCACAAGAGGACTAAAGTTTCCTTCCTCAAGAGCCCGAGTTAGAATTGGCCTTGCCTGTAAATATTCATTGTGGCAGGTGAGTTGCTATCTATCTTACAACACGTATGAAAAGCAACAAATAAAGTGAAAACAAATTGGAGGAAGTATAGGACAACCACTTACCCAATCTAACAAGCTATCATCCATGAAAGTTTGACTGGAGTCAAAAGGTCGCCGCCCAGTAATCAACTCCAGGAGCACAACCCCATACGAGAATACATCTGATTTTTCAGTTAGTTTTCCTGAAGAAGCATATTCTGGAGCCAAATATCTAAAAGTGAAACCAAAGTTTGTGCAAATTTGATCAGAATTAATTAGATAAATGTAGACGAAAATTCTAAAACGTGGCAATAAGCATCAGTGTCACAATAGGTGTTAATCAAGCCATTATTTAAGAATAGGGTCTGGGGGAGTGTGTGAGCACAAAGACCTTACCCTTACTTGAAATCAATACTATTTAAACCACTTGTTATTGTTCAATCATAAGACAACAAGAATCTGGCAAAGCAAGACAAAGAATTTGTGTTTACCCAAATGTGCCCATTACTCGTGTGGAGACATGCGTGTTAGTATCAGAAGTTAATTTTGCAAGTCCAAAATCTGCTACCTGAAAGAATGAGCAATGCAAGTTCATCAGTACAATAACAAGTCGCATTGGTAGGTGTGGCACTCTAATCACATATGGCAAAGATTATTCAAGACACTGATTGCATTAACGGATGACACATCTCAGTTCATCCTTTAATGATAGCATTCATCGAGAAAAACTTATTCTTCAGGACATGACATTCATAAAACTAGGGGAAGAAAACAGATGGGTTTTATAAACTTATTTGATTTTTGATTAAAAGGATATATTATAACCATCCATTAATCTATTTATAATCCATTGAAAAATCATAAAAAAAATCCAATCCATTTCTGATCGATTTTATAAAATCAATCCAATCCATCCATTTACTTGCTGTATTTTCATGTATCAGGATGATTGAAGAATGCATGTGATCATGTTTTAGCATACAACATCCAGGGATAAAGTTAAACAAATCTGGAAATCATGCAAGCATAAGAATAACACCTTTGCTTCAAAATTAAAATCCAGAAGTATATTGGCTGATTTGATATCACGGTGAATGATTTTGGGTTGGCCTGTATATTTTAAAACAAAACACTTCTATCAACATAAGTCCGAAGCATGGCTCACTCTATTGAAAAACAAAAGAATAAACACAACAAAGAGCTTACAGTCCTCATGAAGATATGCCAGTCCTTTTGCAGCACCTAAAGCAATCTTAAGTCGTGAGGGCCATTCCAAGGCAGGCCTTCCCTTTCCTGAAACATTCAAATGTTTTCAATTGTAAATAGAACAATCTGTGCACAAGCAAAAACAGATCAAAGAAATGCAGGATCAAAATGTTGGTAAATCTCACCGTGTAAGTGGAATTCCAAAGTGTTATTAGGCACAAACTCATAGACAAGCAATCTCTGAGACCCAGTGATGCAATATCCAACCAAAGAAACGAGATGTTTGTGATGGACACGGCTAATGATCTCAACCTCTGCCCTAAATTCACGCTCACCCTGCCCACTTCCATCCTTCAGTTGTTTAACAGCAACCTCTTTTCCATTTGTAAGTACCCCTTTATGCACATATCCAAAACCACCTTGTCCAAGAAGGTTTGCTTTTGAGAAGCCATCAGTTGCACTTGCCAATTCTTCATAGGTAAATGTGCTTTTTGACATGCTTAGGGACATTCCGGGAGAAAGTGGTATAAGTGAATTTGAAGAACCCGAATAGTTGGATGAAGTTCCACCACTGCTCATTTGAGGTCGAAGTGGATGTGGAGGTTGAGGGCCTTGAGGGGAAGGAATGGGAGATGGTGGGGGCCATAATGCACTTGAGGGTGGGGAACGATGCTTTGGAGGAATCACAACAGGAACATTCCCTGGTGGTGGAGCATTTTGTTGCCATTGGTAAGCAGGCCCACCATATGCATCAGCTGCAACTACAAATTTTTCATGAGTGCCAGATGATACATTCATGATCTACGATGTGCATTTTGCTTTTAGAATATCAATCTGGCAATGGAGCATGAAAGTATCTACTATTTCCAATCATGGTCTCATTAATTCATGATATTTATACAAGCAAATGGAATACGATGAAGTCATTTTTGTAATTTCATATGTTACTCCTTCAGAAGGTTGCAACCACAAGGACATCTGGTGTAAGCCATCGTTACTATGATTATTCACATGACTTTTTATTGCGTTATATCTGAACTAATTTCAGACAATTAATTGCCACTATTTTTTTTCCATTGAACCCAACATAGTGGAGCCTAATGCCTAGACGAGGTTGGGTGCGATTAGGCAGTATTAATTCAAAAGTAGATGGTCAAGTGAAGCCTGCTGCCTATGTGGGGACTAGGAACAATCAAAGCCATGCTACAAAAAACTTCTTTAAGTTTAGTGTACTCAACAATTGCCATTTATTTTGCACTATTGTGAGCAAATATGGAACGAAGACATCTGAATTGACAGATAGAAGAACTATTATTTCCAACTACTCTTTGAATAACTATAATGTACATCAAAACTGCTTCCAAAAGTACACTTATTACTAGAATAGCCAGTCAAAAAATATATGACCAAGGGATTGGTATAAATAGTATATTCAGATTCAAGGGTTTCTTTGGCTAAACAAGAAGAAGAAACTGAACTGGAAAGCACAAAAGGGGAGAAATTTCGGTATTGTCTAGTTGCATTTTGGTTTTCAGCAACCAGTCTCCAATTTTTTTATTTCAAATCAAAAGCAATGAGCATTTCCAACAAATTTCACTATATGAAAATCACTAAACTACAGAAGTACATTAAAGAATTAAGAAAAAACATGAATCTCAAGAGGCAAGAAATGCAGAAGACCTATGAACACCAAAGCATTTCAAGAATAGGGCAATATATTCATCACCTTTAAGTCCAGTAGTTGGTGGTGGAGAATAGTAATCTACTGGTCCATGATGCCTTTTCCGTTTCTTCCTACAGCAAATGAGTATCACACTGAGCAGGACCAATAGCAAGACCGCGGCAGCCGCAATTCCCACCACTAACCCGGTAGAGACTCCGCCGTCATCTGATGGTGGCGGTGGTGGATGGGTTTTGGGAGTTGGATGAGATCCTTTCGCCCCAGAATGGTGAGGGGGCGGTGGGGAATGAGAGGATCGGGACGGAGGAGGCTGGGAAGGATGGCTAGAATTCTTCTCCGACGGAGGAGGAGCAGTTGACGGAGTCGCCGGAGAAGGGAGAGACCCGGACGACGGAGTAGGAGTAGAGGGCTTTGCTGTAGGGGGATGAGACCCAGACGACGGAGACTGGGCAGAGGACTGAGGAGAGACTGGAGGATTCGGACTAGAAGGCGGGGGCGCGGAGGTCGAGGGAGCCGGTGTAGAAGGCGGAGGGGAAGTAATGTTGGCTGGTGGCGGCGGCGGCGAAGTGGGAGGAGGAGCCGCTCCGGGAGACGGCGAAGACATAGTTCCTAAGCAGAAACAGGGATCGGAAGCTGAAAACGCATCACTGACTGCGATTCGTCTTCCGCATTATGCGATCGGATCGATTCAATTTCAATTTCAGAGCAGAAAAAGGGGGAAATTGGGGGGAGATCAGAAGAGAAGAGATGCCGAAACAGACACTTTCACTGATCACAACACTACTGTTTAGAGTCTTAGAGAGAGAAAAGAAAAGAAAAAGAGAGAATAAAGAGGAATGGGGAATCGTGGAGTGGGGGGCCACATGATTGGCGCGCATTCTCCGCCTTCGCTCCGCTTCAGCTTGACAAATTGTGAAGCGAATCCAGTAGAATACACACCTCCACTTTACAACCCAGGTTTGAGGCTATATATTATAAATTTGGATATGTTATGATATTGTATCTACATCATATATAAATACCTTTTAATTGTTGTTGGAAGAAACTAGAAAAAATTAAAAAAATTGGAAGAAGTAATAAAAAGTTAAAAGTCATATAGATATCACAGATACTTAAGAAAACCCTTTTTTAATTTTCCTTTTCTTTCAACTTTTTCTCTTTGTTAACCTCCATTTTCATCCTAGTTTGTCCTTCATCGGTTATGTCTCTTCTTTATTTGTTGTAATACATTGAATATGACTCGTTACAACAGAGAGTACAAGGGTCTCGTTGCCTAGTCAGCGAGTCGGGGGGTCCAGGGGGGGCGACGTGCCCCCTGGCCTGGGGTCCAAGGGCGGAGACTCCCCCGGCCTGATGGTATACAATGTTGATGTATTGTGCTATTAATTATCTGTCAATTTTGTATTTTGGGCCCTAGCTTGTTAAAGTGTAGCTTTGCACTATATATATAGGTGCTATCACAAACCCTAAGATGTATTCTGTTCTTGCCTCTTCACTATAAAATTGCACCCCATCTTCCCGTGGATGTAGCCAACACAACGTTGGTGAACCACGTTAAATCTGTTGTCGTGTTTTTCATGTTCATATTGTTATTCTTGAATTCCGTATAACAATTTCATGGACAGACTCTAGTTCCTAGCTCCTCGGTCTCTCTTCATTTTTTTCTTTTCCGACTTTTTTGTTTCCGTTTTTCTTAATTTCTTCACTTTTCTAGGTCTCTTCCTATAGAGACAATATTTTTCTATGTGCCAACCTCCTCACTTGATCCTCAAACGATAGCTCACAACGTCTCATATCGTTCTAGTGTTGAAGCTGAGTATCGCGTCTTGGCTAATACCATTGCAGAGGCCAACAGGGTTTGAAATCTTCTCCTTGAGCTCCAGCAATCTCTCATGCACTCTACTCTAGTCTTTTGTGACAATGTCAGTACGTGTTGACTACCTCTTCCCTAATCTACCCAAGCATCATTGCATGAAGTAAATTGAAGTTGACATTCACTTTTTCCGTTACAAGGTCGACAAAAGAGAAGTTTGTGTTCTTCCTGTGTCCTCCGATCCTCTTTGCAGTATGCAGACATCTTCACTAAAAATCATCTGTTTGTTGTCTTCACCGAGTTTCGTGACAACCTGGGAGCCAGGCAACTTATGACAACATTGTAGGGAGCATGTTAAATATAATTAATATATACTTATTATGTAGTTATGTTATTTGCTCCATTCCTTCATCCATTGGTTTTCCCACTTCCAATAGATATAGATCTCCTTCATATTAATAGTCTTGTACCTCTCTCAGTTATGGATTATCAGATCGAAATTGTTTATTCTTTCACTTTTACGTACTATTATTGTTGTTTAAGACCTAATGTTCTCTATACAGCTGAGTGTTACCGTTATGGCCTCTATTTTAGTAATGAGAACATTGTTCTACATTTTTTACTTGTTTAATATCTGTAAATCTAGAATTTGTTCTTTTTTATAGAAAAATTATTACCTACATTTCTTACATGTCTAATGTGTGTAAATCTAGAATTTTTCTTTCTTTTGAATATTTTTTTTATTCTATTTGGAATTTCAAAGTTCTCCATTGAGGATAGTCTAACCGTGGAGGTTAATACTTTTGCAGGTCCTATAATTGAGATACGAACTCGTATCGGATACAGAAGAACTTCGAACGTTCTTCGAGTTCCAGACAAGTTGTTGAGACGAGAAACAGAAAAAGGTTTAAAACGAGAAAGGAATCGATGAACCGAGAGAGGAGAAGAGATTAGGGGTTGTGATTTGTTTATTGATTGATATTGTTAATTGGGCTACATCTCTATTTATAGGAAATGGATGAAAACCCTAACCCATCTAATTTCTAGCATATCGGTTTAATAAATGTATCGATGTAAAGAAGCGAAAAGAACTTATAATTTCGTTTACCTAATAAAACCTAGATTACGATAATATTACTACTAAATATAATAAAATACCCTACTCTAATATCCGTAACACAATAATGTTTTTTCTGAATTATATCTCAACTATTGCACTAAAAAATTGCTTTATTATGGATGATTTGTGTAAAGCTTTAGTGATATTGAAATGTTCCAAAAGTGGTTATGAACAATAATGTTGTGCATACAAAGTAAACATAAACAATAATTATTGGTGGAAAAAATACCTACAAAAGGTTAAAATTTGTGAGTCCATGTTTGAACAACACTCACAATGACTTCTTAAATAGTGAATAACTAAGTATGTACTTGTCTTGCGTGCATAGTATGGAATAATATGTTTTTGATGTGTATGTATATATATTCAAGTTTCATATATCAATTATCTTATATAGTATATGTATGTGGACTGTAAAAATATATGAATATAGTAGCGCATTCATGTCACCCTTGTTTGCATGTACTTTGTGGGTACGATTTTCTCCCCGAGCGATATTTTTGCTAAGATCCAACTCTACAGTCTATTAGATTTTATTTAGAACTTTTTCGAGTAATGTTGTCATGTTTCGAGACCTACATGTTTTGGTGATAACTTTCTTTTGTTGAGTATGTGATTATGTCTTTTTGATTGCTGGGAATTGTCCTTCAGTTAGACTGTTGGCTACTCGGCTCAGTTAAAATACTTCTAGATGTACGGTATGTGTTTCCAAATTCTTAACCTTGTTATTGTGTCAATATATATACCGATCGAATGTTCAACACCAAAATACTAATAAAGCCAAAATATTGTAAAATAAAAGTAAGATAAAATCATGACATTATAATAATGTAACACACTGTATATTGACAATTAATAAATATTTTTGATAGTATATGTTGATGTTATTTACATTATACTATCTGCGCCTCAAATTAAATTGCTTGTTTACTATTCACAGGGTCAAACTTTATTTACTGTCTTTTTTTCGGTAGTCATTTGATAAAATAAAATATTTATATAAACATTATTTTATAGATTTTTTAATATAGTATTTTAATCTTTAATTTTTATTTTTTTAATTCTACACCATTTTTTATATAAAATAATCTAAAAATAATTTCGGCCAAACTTCGTAAATCGAAACAAGAAATACAAATTGGGACGGAGGGAGTATGTCTTATTTTGAACATAAAAAATAAAGGTCCTATTTGGATTCTTTTATTATTATGTTTTACTTTTATGGGCCATGATATTTTGACGGCTAAATAGCTTCCATGCCCCCTGTGGTTTGGAAAATTGGAACCAATTCCCCCTCTGTTTTCAAAACTTATTTTTAAAATCTTCGTGGTTTCAAAACGTTGCACCCACACCCCCTCCGATCATTTTCCGGCCATTTTCCGGCGAAGAGGCGGCATTGGCGCATAATTTCTAAACCACGGGGGGCATTCATGCTCATTTCTTATTTTCGTTTATTATTCTTCCCTTTTTTAAAATATCTTCTATCTCTTTTTCCTTTTCCTAGATTTTTTTAAAAATATATTTTCAATTTTTTATAATGTTTCAAAAATTTTAAAATTTGTGTTTGAAATAAAAATAAAAATAAAAAAATTAACATACATTAAATCTATATCAAATTAAACATTTTCACCATCTGTTACTTAGAATAATTTTTTGAAAAGTTCAAAAAAAGCCCAGAATAAAAAAATAAAAATATGGAAAAACGAAATGAAAAAATTAAAATATGCAAAAAAAGTCTTAAACAAAAAAAATTAGACACGCCTAAAAAAGTACTTAGAATTAAAATGTTCAAAAAGGATATTCATTTTTATTTTTGTATTATTTTGTTTCTTATTTTATTCCTCATTTCTTGAAGTCTCAAAAAAAATTTACTTTTTTTCAGAAAAAACAAAAATTGTTAATTTGAGACGTACATATGCATTATATCTTAATTTTTTCTAACAAAAGTAACTTTAAATTTTAAGAAACATTATAAAAAAATCTTTATTAATAAATGAAATAAAAAAGGAAAAAATGGAAAAAACATGGAAAAAACAAAAAATATGCAAGAAATAAAAATCAGCACCGATACCCCCTATGGTTTAAAAAACATGCACCAATACCCCTCTCCTCGCCGGAAAAATGGCCGGAAAATGATCAGAGGGGGCACGGGTGCAGCATTTTGAAACCACAAGGACTTTAAAAATGAGTTTTGAAAACAGAGGGGGTATTGATGCTTGTTTTGCAAACTACGAGGGGTACCGACGCTATTTGGCCATATTTTGACAGTCAATAACAATAAAAATAAATACTTCCTCCCTTTCACATTGAATATCACATCTAAACAAAGTGTAAAATTTTATTATTTTTTTAAAAAAATTAATTATTAATTTCTATAAAAATAAATGGGAGTGTCTAAAATGACACTAATTACTTATACACCATTTGCTTACACCAGTTCGTTTGGGGTACCTACGGTGCTCCGTTTATAAAAACGACGGTTCCTACCCTCCCTAACCCTCCCCCTAAACCCCCCACCCCATCCCCACCCTTGCCCCCCCTCCCGCCCCCTCCCTACCCTAGCAAGGGTGGGGATGGGGTGGGGGGTTTAGAGGGAGGGTTAGAGAGGGTAGGAGCCGTCGTTTTTACAAACGGAGCACCGTAGGTACCCCAAACGAACTAGTGTAAGCAAATAACACCAGTAGCACTGGTGTTATTTTAGACTTACCGAAAATAAATTGTATAAATTATATGGTTTTAAAACAAATTTCTACAAAAAAGAAGGGACAAATATATTTTATTTTATAGCATAAAAACCCACCAAATTCTAACTGTTGCCATCTCCATCCGCCTGGAAAATATCTGAGACACACACTTATATACATTGAGCTCAAGTCAATTATGGTTCGTTTCTCTCTCTAAAAGACATCGAATAGCTGATGGGGTTACAGAGCTCCCTCCGTGTACTCTCACCAATATCCCCTTCTTTGTTCACCGCCTGTGACTCGCCGTCCTGTTCATATTCTCCGTCGGCGAGAAGTCTCTTGCCGTTCAGACTCAGCCACAGGTCTCATCTAAAAGTCGTCTCCGAGCAGCACATACCGCTCTCGATTGATGGTAACAGCAAAATTGGGGATGGATCGGCGTCGGCGGATCGGTTTTCGCAGAATAAAATGGTGGCGGACTTCATGCGGTTCAAGCACCGCCCTGATTCCGATGACCGGCTTGCCGAGCTGCAGACTGCCGTTATCAGTTACCGGAAGAAGTTTCCTTGGTCATTTCTTCAGCCATTTCTGCAGGTTCTTCACCGAATTTAGAATCCGTTTATATGTTAATGCTTCATACAATGCAAATTTCACCCCCCCCCCCCCCAAGTAGGCGTTTTATTGACTGTTTTAATTGATCATTTGTTCAGGTTGATTTGGTGTCGACAATACATATTGCCGATAAAAAGTATGTTTTGATCTATTTAATTTGATTTCAAAATAGAATGTTTTGTTCAGTTGCAGAACATTGTCAATGTATGACATTTATGGAGTGATTATGGTGTAGATACATGTATAGAGATTTTTTTTTGAACCAAGAACAAATAAATCTTCATTCCAAAAACAACAGTAAGGACAATAGACTAACACCCATACAGACTAAATTTGGCAGTACAAAGATCCTACTCCAAAAATCAGCAATACCATAGAGGACTGAGTTGATCAGCTTAGTTCTCCCTGCATAAGAAAGATGCTTAGTAGCCCAAGAAGTTATTTTTAGGGTCATTTTTTCAACCAGTTTATCACATTCTTTCTCACTAATGCGAGAATCTGAGATAGGAGCTCCCAAATATCTGAATGGGAAGGATCCTAAGGGCATATATGTCTTATGCAGGATACTTTCCAGTATAGTATCAGAGACCCCACCCACATACACCTGGGACTTATCATAATTGAGCTGCAAACCTGTGGTTTGTTTGAAATGATTAAGGCCAGCTAGTACATAGTCAATAGAAGGGAGATCACCCCTACAAGCCACAATAAGGTCATCTGCAAAAACAATATTGATATGTTTCAGATTCTTGCATCTAGGATGGAAACTGAAACTGCCCCTGTTAAAAAAGTAGCTGAAAGTTCTTGTTAGGTACTCCATAATAAGGGTGAATAAGAGGGGGGACATTGGGTCCCCCTGTCTTATTCCTTTCCCTCCTTTGAAAAATCCAAACACCTCACCATCAAGTTGTACTGAATAGGCTGCACTAGTAACACAGAACCTGATCCAGTCAATAAACTTATTAGGGAACTTCAAAGCATCCATAATCTGAAGCAAGCTCTTCCAGCTAACAGAGTCATAGGCCTTCCTCAAATCCAATTTCATAATACACCTTGGACTGATTCCTTTCCTTTTATATCCTCTAACTAACTCCTTGCAAAGAAGGACATTGTGCACCAACTCCCTGCCCTCTATAAAAGTACCTTGGTTGCTATTAATGATATGGGGGAGGACAGCTCTAAGCCTATTGCAAATGATTTTGGATATAACTTTATATACCACATTGCAGCAAGAAATAGGTCTGAAGTCCTTTGGGCTTTCAGGACTATCCACCTTTGGGATGAGGCTGATATTAGTATGGTTAATCTGTTGGAGGGATAAACCATTTTGAAAGAATTCAAGAACAGACTTAGTCACCAGCTTACCAATCACTGACCATTGGTTCTTAAAGAATCCACTGCTATAACCATCAGGCCCCGGGCTTTTACAATTTGGAATTTCAAACATACATCTCTTTATTTCCTCCTCAGTTACAGGAGCTATGCATTTTAGCTGTTGTTCCACACAGAGCATTTTTCCTTCCCCAATGACCTCCTGAAGGATGTCTTCTGTCCACTCTGTCTTGCCCAACAGTTTCTGGAAATAATCCACCATCACCCCAGCAATGTTTGTCTTCCCTTCAATCAGATTCCCATTTGAATCCTTAATAGTATTAATATGGTTATTCATTCTCCTTTTCTTGATCCAAGCATGAAAGAGTTTTGAGTCTTTATCCCCCCTCCAGGACCCATTCTTGTTTAGCCTGTTGATTCTTCATGAGTCTAGCAGCCTTCAGTTTCCATGTCAATTCCTTGTTTAGTTCTATCTCCTTTGTTATTAGATGTTCACACTTCATGTGAGTGCCTCTTGTACTTGGCTTAGCTCTTCCCTCAGCAGATTACAATGTTGGTAAATATGGCCAAATTTGCTCTTATTCAGTCCCCTCAATAAAGGTTTTAGCATTTTCAATTTCTTGTATAGTTGGAACATAAATCTGCCCTCCATCTTCTGGGTCCAGACATTCTGGACAATCCTGGAAAACTGAGGATCAAGACACCACATATCACAAAACTTAAATGGAAAGTTCCCTCCCTCCATAGAACATTCTTTCACCAGTAGGGGGAAATGATCAGATAAACCTTCTTCCTTTATGATGACCTTAACATCAAAAGTGCTGAACCATTCTACATTTGCAAACACCCAATCTATTTTTGAAAATATCCTCTTTCCTGGAACTTGCCTATTAGACCAAGTGTATTTAGCACCCTCACTTGGGACTTCCTCCAACCCACATGTTTGGATGCATTGTTTAAAGTCTTTGGTCTCTTCCAGTGAGACTGGGTTGCCACCAATTCTGTCCCCCATACCCAAAATGCTGTTAAAATCTCCTAGGACACACCATGGTTTATCACAAGAAGATGCTATACCCATAAGATCATTCCACAGGTTACATCTTTTAGCAGCCTCATTGTGTCCATACACAAAGGTTACATAGAACTCTTTAACTTCACCAAATCTTCTACATTTACAGTGAACCCATTGGTCAGAAAAGCCCACAATATCAACCTTCATTCTATCCGGTTTCCATAACACCCATATTCTACCCAGTGGATGAGTAGAATTATTAATAACAGAGTTCCACCCCTGACCAACCTTCATTTCTATTGTACTAAAATTACAGCTCCTTATTTTAGTTTCTAATAGCCCACATATATCAACTTTATTTTTATTTAAGAAAAGCTTAACATCCTCCTGTTTATTAGGACTGTTAAGTCCTCTCACATTCCAGCTTCCTATCATTTAAGGAAAGGGAGGTGCCCTTCATAATGGGCCTTCTCTAAAGCTTTTTGAAGACTACTCAGCAGATCACCTTCATCTTCTAATACAATCCTCCTGGTTGCTTTCTTTCCACTGACTTTAGTAAAGCCTTCCTCTGTCAGATTACTTTCTGTTGGAATAGGTTCCTCTTCATGTTTGCCCTTTTGTTCTTATCAGTTTAACATGTATAGAGATTTAGTGCGTCTTGACTTTAATCAATGATCTTTAAATTCATTTGTTAACAGCTGAAATTGAATTTGTCTCAAGTAAGGTATGTGTACGTTATAAAGAACTGGGCCAAGATGCTTTTGCTACTTTTTTGTTCTGAAGAAAGTTACTATGTATTTTCTTCTTCCAAACATTCCTTTGAAAAATGTCACAATGAAAATTGAAAAGTGAATCTGTTGGTTTATTAGTTTATCCTCTCTGCATACTCAGCATATTTTTGCAGAATGAGTATAGATCTTTGATAAAAATTCCTTTGTGTTGGAAACGTGGATGAACTAACACAGTTTGTATCTTGAGGACGTGGATGAATATAGATCTATGATTAAAAGTACATAGTATGTTTCATTTTGACTTTCAATATTGGGTTTTGATTTTGATTTTCTTTAATGAAAGATCTTTGGAGAGTGAATTGTATGCTTTTCTATTTCTTAAATCTTGTTGCTTGCTATCAACTTTGAACATAAAAAAGGTATATCCTAGTCGCTTGCTCCATTTCGACTAATTGTTTCATTTGCAGGTACTTTGCAACCCTGCAAAGGGAACTTGAACCATATGATTGTGTTCTTTATGAAATGGTAGCTAGTAGGGACAGTTTAGAGAGTAGAGGAAACCTTTCTGTAAAAAAGAGTAATAAACTCTTAAAAGACAAGGGCTTCAATATTATTGGTTTCATTCAAAGACAGATGGCTAGACTTCTTATGCTTGGTTTCCAATTAGATTGTCTTGATTACCAGTCCAAGAACTGGTATCATGCGGATCTTGACTTTGAAACCTTTAAGTTACTTCAGGTACTGCATATTGCCAGATCACTTCTAATTTTGTTTTATTCAGTTCCACTTGTTCTTCAATGGGAAGGCTCTTTCATTTTGAATGCATCCATCACCTTTCTATTAAACTCCCTTTTCTAATATAAATGTATGGGTGTTGATAAAATTAAGTTGTGAAGTACTACAAGTGCATTCATCCCAGAGTATTCATGTAGTTTGACTTCGACATTAGATTGTACTCCGTATCTTAATGCAAAGCAAATACTCCTTGGATGGAGGAAGTATTTGAGGTCTGAGAAGCTTTTACACAACTACACTCTACACTCCCATTCTGTTTGCACTTGCATATTCTAATCATGAAGAACATCTTAAATTTGAATGACGGTCGAATTTACAGCCGATGTGTCTCTTTCAGCATCAGAAAGGTGAGAGTTTTTTCACATTTGCCAGTGATATGACAGCTACGTCTACAGAAGCCATTGAGCAATCTGCATCAGTACCAGTTGATCTTGGAGAATGGAGATCCAAACTTCTGTGGGCTTCACGTGTGCTACCTATGCCTCTTATTGGACTTGTCATCATTGAAGGAATCTGTGCAGATATGCTACGCCAGGCATCACAGTATCCAGAGTTAGAAGCACTGTCAAGGCTTGATTTTGGTGCTGCAGTGAAACTGTTTCTTGCGAAGCGTATAACATCTGAGTAAGTGTATTCATGTGAATTTGTTGCGATATTGAAGCATTGTGAACAGAAAACTATTTTTGTATAGTGGAGGTTGTGTTGTGTTAGTATGTCCGGAGCAAGTACCTCAATAAATCAAGTTAAGAGTGCATTCTTGCTTTGATGCCGTTATATGATGGCTCAGGATTTGAATCTTGCTGACAAGAGGAATCCAAATGGATTGGGTTTTTTGCTGTGGGCACGATTACATACAAGCAGTTTGGGTAACCTACAGATGGCTAGAGCCTCCTGTGGTTTAATCCCTCTGATGAGGCTGTGTTTGGAACCCAGAAAATGGTTAGGGAATGGAAAACTAATGCTAAGAAAAATCAAGTTTTATATATGGGTTTACACAGGAAATAAATGAAGAAAAATAAAAATTGACAATTGACTAAAACCATTCTAAACTTCATTTATATTTATTTGTCTTTATATAATACTCCGTACTATAATAGGAGTATATAAATAAAATGAGTTTTAACAGACACCTAAAACTGATTTCTCGAGTTCAAAACCAACTCTTTAATTTTTTCCAGCATTTTTTTAGTTCCAGACCCACCTGAAATCTCTAGGGCAATGGCAGTTAGGAGCCCTTTAGGTTTGGGAGTCAAACAATCTTTACAAGTAATCCCTTGGCTGCACATGCAGGTTCACACAAGTGACAACTGATGTGGAGGCAAAATCCGTCATCATCGGAGAGAGAAACAAGGCTGCAACAGAAGCACTTCGAAGCGCGATTGGCGAGGGCCACAACAAGATAGCCATCCTTTATGGGAGTGGGCACATGCCAGACTTGGGTCGACGACTACGCGAAGAGTTTGACCTCTTCCCCTCTCAGGTACAGTGGTTTACAGCTTGGTCTATCGGCGCCAGCAACGTATCTAACAGTTCGCTTCCGTTTTTGACAACTGTTGCTGATACGTTGGGGTGGCCGTTGAACCGATACCAAACAGTAGCACTGCTACTGTTTTCATCGGTCCTTGCCTTTGATCTTTGTTTATGGGAACTGTTTTTTGGAACCACAGCTAACTTGTTTACACAAGTTGCCTCCGACATTTTCCAATGCATTGACAAGTCATGATAATATTGATCTTTGTAAAACCGCAGGCGTTTTTAACAGAACTTGTATAAATGTGTATATGTTTTCATATCTCATGATGATTTTGTTTTAGAACTTTGTCATTTAATCACGCATTCACGTCCCATTAATGGAGCCCTGTTTCTAACCTTATTCTTATCCCACAAGAGTCAAGTTTGAACAAAACAATCTATGTTCCATATTTTCTATATCATATTAGATGATTTTATGAAACATGATGAAGACTGCCTTCTTTTGTT